TTTCAAAGATGAAGACAAAGACTCGAGACAAATCCAAAAAGACTTAAACTCTGCAGTTCTGTCGCACATATACAAGCTTAATTTAGTGAGTAAAAAGTCTTTGAGTAAAGAATGTATTACAGAGCAGTCACACACATAAACATACCGAACTAATCCTGCAAACATCCTGCCAGTGGAACCACATAGCTACTGCTCTACTTATTTCTTTGATTGGTGATATAATGAAGCGGTTTAAAGTTGATTCATATGTTTGGGCTTTTAAATGGGTAGAAAAGCGCACACGGATCAAAATGCGTTAAAATATATTTACACATTCCAGGAATTAAAGTCATCGTCTGTGCTAATTGTTTGTCTATAAATGTATACACACATGCACACACATTTTATTTAATTTTTTCTGTATTTGGATTAAAAAGGCCTTCGATTCAGATGCCCTTCCTCCTCCTCCTCTTCCCCCTTCACCTCCTTCTCACCCTCACCCCTGACTCTCGTCACGACTCACTCCACCCTGGGTTCAAGCCCAGTCTCTGAAGTTGAGCTAAAGATATTGCCTTAATAAGCGACGCAATAAAAGAAGATGGATATTTTTTTTTTAATGGGACTTTCCTGCCCTGTCACACTTCATTTAGTGGATTTCCTATTTGTCTCGCCTGGGCCATTTTCACAGCTTTTATTTTTTCTCCTTCCTCTTGGTATACCCTCATTTCTTTAAAACACAGCCTACTTTTTTTTATTTTTTTCTTCTTTCATATTCGAGCAGTGAGAATTTTTTTTTTTTTGTTTTTGAATGTAAAGCAATTCGTCCTTGTGGCTAATTATTGCTCTGTAGTTGGGTGGGGCCCTTACGTGGCATCAGTTTTGGTATTAGATGCAAGTGGGTTGTTCTTAGCTTGTGAAAACAATACAGCAGTTTATTTTTTCTAATATTGTGTTATTTAAGTTTATTTAAAACAAGTCTTATTTAGCAGACAAATGGAAAAATAAGATACCCATAAACTGTAGTTTTAATAAGTTCAGGGGATCCTGATCAGTCAATCAACGATATCCCAGTACACCCTTGCTGGTGTTGCTTTTTTAAAAAGAGCATATTTGGAGTCAAAGCACTCTAGGTTATGAGCTTCCGCTTGTCAAAGCTCCTTTATTCAACAGTCACTAAGTGTGACGTCCCCGCTGGAAGGATGTGTAAAATAAGAAGCATCGAAAATCAAAGGCATGCAAGGACCCCGATGACCTCAGGCTGCTCACAGCACCTGACAACATGTTGACATAAAAACACAAACAAGCCTCTCTCTGCCACAGGGCAAGGTGAGAGTAGCAGGAATGGAAACAAGTGCAAAGTTGAAGTGATGGAAGCATGAAATCAAGTAAAATTACAAAATTAAGACGAAAAAGAAGGCAGATTTGAGTTTTTTCTGTCATGACTCACAGCACGACATAAGTGCTGTGAATATTCTACCTACATAGATTTCCCAGCCATACAACTGCTCTCATTTCCCGCACGTCCGTCTGCTTTCTCCACTGTGACATATTTATTTCCCCTGGTGTGTATTAAAAATAGAAAAGGAAAAAAGAGAAAATGGAAAAAAAATGTATTTTGATTCAAAGGGGGAAGAATTAGTGTGGCAACACCAGGGATTAAACGAAAAGTTTGTGGTATTTGCAACATTCGGAAGTTTCTGGGTCTTGTACCTTGTATCAGTAGCACTAAAGCTTCTCCTGCTGTACGCCGCTTCTGGTTGGCTTCCTGGTGTGTGTATGGTTGAAACTGAAAAACTACAATTGCATCTGTGCACTTGAGCATGATCGAAAACTATTCAGCTGTTTTGTGTAGTGATCCAGTGTTTGTTTGGGTTTTTTTCGTCTGCTCTAGTCTTCCAGCCCTGACAGACCTGACAGCAATACAACAGGTGAGCTTTTTTCTTCTTCATATACCTGAAAGTTTAGAGGAGAAAGTTGATATTTCCAGTACAATAAAACAATAAAAATCAGATTTTTCTTTTTCATTGTTACACGTGTAAAACAGCCAAGCCTCAACCCACCACTCCAGAAAGCAGGTCTCCCGGTGGTTCTGTTAGTAAGCCCGACCCTGCTTCTCCAGAGAAGACCTCACCACGCGGTGAGACTAAGCCCGAGCCAGCTCCTCGTGTCAGAGCTACGTCTTCCTCGAGTTCCCCAGGAGGACCAGTAAGTCCCAAACCACCGGTGCCACAGGGAGCAAAGCCTGCTCTGGCTGCTCGACCTACAATCCCGCAGAAGCCGAGGACCACGAATAGCAGCAGGAGCATAGGTACTGTCAAACTCTGGTGATTTCTGTTACAGTGACTTTTGTTTTTTTCTTTTCAAACTAAAATGTGCGATGCATGTTTTATTTTGTTAGGTATGTATCCATACTTAATGCTTAAAGATTGTTTTCGCTTGCTTCGTTTTTCTTCACATAGATGAGAGCTCAGATTCCACCAGCAGTGGCAGTGTGTCTCATAAAGCCACAGTTCTTCCTCCAACACTGAAGAGGGTGCTATCGGAAAAAGGCAAGGACGGAGTCTACACCAACAAAACCACTCAGGAAGGTACGTTTCTCCTATTTTGTTCATGTTAACACATTAAAGAAAATAGATTTTAAGCCTCACTGAAAATGCAGTGAACTGTCAGTCATCCCCTTATAAATACATCAGCTGTTACTTTTTTGTCTCCTCGTGAAGTTGGACAGACTGGTGGATGTTTGATCTCGCTGTCAGGATCCGACACAGTGTTTGCTTCCCCTGCGGTCTCGTATTTGCTATCGTGCCGTGGAGGCCGCTGCTGTATTTTCTACGAAATGACAGATGTGACACTGACAGATTCAGGTCACAGCTCTCACAAGGCTCTCACTGCCTTTGATCTACTATCTATTATGTAACATGTATACATAATTATTAATGTGAGAGTTTGTATTTGAAACCCTGGTCCAGTGGCCAATCTTCAAGTGACCTTTGACAAAAGTTTTCGTTTCAAACATGAATATTGGTTAGATCCCAACATTTAAAACTTAAAGCACTGCCTTTATATTCCTTATGATGATTGTAAATTCAACTTTATATGAAAAAAGTAAATGAAATGCAATATCACAGAACGAAATAACTCGGAAAGGTTCCAGAGTTACCTAAAGGAGGAGCTCAGTTTAATAGCCACATAAAGAAGTCATTAATTTGAATCTAAATATGATACAAGAAGGAGCTGCAATGTAGTCCCTGTTGTTATTTGGTTGTTATCTGTTCCTGATGGAGGAATCCACACAGTGTGTTTATTCAAACTACCTTTAGACAGCAATGTTAACTTCTGCTCAGATTAAAGTCCCAGTTCACCAGAAGCCTGAAGCCACTGTGGTCCAGTAAGCGTGAGTGGGGCAGCATCTCATGTCACCACATCAGACTACAAACCGTCTTCCCCCTGGTCTCAGTCATCTCACTGAACTTGCCCATATTACTGTCCAAACACCTCACGTTCCCCATGATGATCACTCAACAGCTCCGCCTCCGAAACTCTGCACTTTCCTCCGGATCTCATCTGGGATCCCAGGCCTCGCTCCAGGCACTACAGTTGTCAGCGTGATCTGCTGGTCAATGTAGTGCAAAGTAAAACCACTAGTAAATTATTTTTTTTTTTAAATGTAATTTTGCAAGATTTCAAAAGCAAAAAGTTGCCATTTTGACTCAACATAATGATCACAATAAGCAAGAAAAATCAACTTCATGCAGGCTGCCACTCAGAAAAAGTGGTTTGAGTTTGGAGTGAGATTCTTTTTAGATAAAAAGTACAGCTCCTGAAATATGCTGAAACTACAAAGACGGGATCAAAGCCAACAAACTGTGGAAAGCATTGATCTCAACCCTTAAAGTGAGTTTATGTATTATTAACTGAGTGTAGGGCTGCCGTTGAGAATATTTAAAATATTGCAATTTTCTCTCCTTTTTTAATGGCACATATGGAAAGCCACTTCTTTCATTCCTGTGGGATCACAAAGCTTAAAAAAAAAAAAAAAAGATGAAAAAATCCATTGCTTGTGCCCTCATTTATGTTTTATTTTGGGGGTTTTTTTCCTATAAAATAACTGAAAGAAGTTGAAAGCAGTCAGATGACCTCTCATCCAATCATATGCCATAGTACTGAATCTTACTATTCAAAATGCACAGTCACAATGGTCTGTCGCCAGTGTAGAATTATGGCTGAAGAAGCTAACTATGCTTCTGCATCTTATAACTTAATAATATCATTATTACAGCAGCAAACATGGTTATTTTTTCCATTATCCTACTGTTCAAAAATAACCATAATATAGAAAGAGAACCGAGGTGAAAATAAGCAGCCATCAGTCCTTGTGGGTTAGTCACTAAACAATAAACAGCTAAAACTGTTATTCTTATTATTGTTTTAAGTTTTCTTCTCTTTCTTGCTTCATTATTTCTTCTCCTTTTATCTCCACCAGTGAGATCTGTGTTGGACTCTGTTCAGCGATCCAGCTCTCTCAGCACCAACTCTGAAGATCACAGCTCCTCCAAGACCAAGGACCAAAGCGCAAACTCAGACAAGGACAAAGCAGCAGGCAAGAAGTCCTCAGACTCTGGGGAGGAGGCAGACAAAGACTTTATTTTGATATAAGTAAAACAAATTGACGTAAAACGCCTGTTGACAAGCTTCAAATTTACATTGAACGAAGGAAGGCCCCCACAGGGCAGCAAACCTAACTGTTGTTTCTTTTGTGTTAGAGCTTGTACCTGTAGGTCCTGTCTGACTGCACAGTACAACAATCATATTTGGTTTGTAGTAGTTTATAAAAAGAAAACCTCTTAATTTAATCATGTTTAATGATGGGTTTTAACTCCCTGGTTATCTAACCTAACCCAAATACTTTACTATGTCGCAAAAGAGCTTCCTTCTCACAGACAGCCTTCTCTCTCCTCTCTAGATCACGCTATTGATCTCTGCTTTCAGGTAAAAATCTCATGTCTGGAACCTAAATAGAAATCTTAAGTTTTCAAACCACTAAAAATGATGCATGACATTTATACAAAAAAGCAGAGAGACTGTGAAAGTGTGTGTACGTGTAAAATCTTTAACTTGAGTCTTTCTGTTGTCCGTTGCCATAGCTCGTCTCCGAAGGACCAAACACACAATACGGCTCACGTCACGATTACTGTACTTTACCCATACAACCAGACCAGGAATCAATGGCGTTTGTTTTTTTCCAATATATTTTTACAGATTTTGGTATATACAATCTTCAGCATGTGCAAAGGACTTTTTGGGGACTTGAACGGTGCCTGAATCCATTATGCAATTCGTGTTTTTTTTACAGGAATATACAGGTTTCAGCTGAGACTCTAAGCAAAGACACAACTCAGATATATTTGATGTACTTTGACTTACTCACAGGGGACTAGCCAGACTACACTGCAGGACTGAGGGATAACTGTAAATCAGTGTAAAGCAAACACACCACCTGGACTCGAGTTAGACTCACTGCAAGAGCTGGAGTGACAGTGTGATGTGTTTAACTTTAACTTTATTGATAATCAGTATGGCTTCAGCACTGTTAAATAATACTGTTCTCTGTACGTAAACACTGTGGAAAAATATCTTATTTGCTGTTTTAAGGGGAGAGGATACCACTAAAGTGCAATACAGAGTTTGATTGTATACATTTTGGCCAAATTTCTGTGTTTATAACAAAATTAAATTCTTACTAAATGTTCCTGAAAACAAATTGCAGCCTTTAGTCGAAATGTTGAGACTCTGTATTGCTCTTAAAGATAAAGAGGGCTCCTTCTTTCCAAAAACAAACTAATGTTATTCATTGAGTAATATTGACATTCCTCCAAAAGAAAAGCCCAGGCTTTGAAAATAACCTCATCAGTTTGTTCTTTGTGTAAAAGCCGGATACAGGAAGGAAATCCAGCCTTCAGACACTCTTCTTCCTCAGCATCTTCCAAATTTAGTTCACTTTTACTTTCCACACAGGACGGGAAAAAAAACTCAAGCCATTAGGTGGCAAACATAATGCTTAAATTCAAAAAGCAAGCAGTGCCTAAAGTGAAAGTGAACTGAAGGTAGCAGTATTTTGACCACGTGGACCTTCGGGCTATTTTGTACATACCATTTTCAGGATCTGACTGAGTCACATTAGCTCGGGCCTCAGGCCAAATTCTTCTGATTTCTCTCTTCTAAGAACAAGCAGTGACCTTTTCACACTGATACAGTTTGCGAACTTTCTCAAATATATGGTGCTTTTGGAAAAAGTAAAGAAAACAGTGAAAGTGGCAAAGGATTAGTGGACAGCTCATCTCTCCATCTGCACGTGAGGCTGGGTTTTTTGATACTGGACCATGCAGTTTCACAGACGTTGCATAAATGGTTTGATATCCCACTCATGCCACGTCGGTTTTTAGTGGCCGATATGCTTCAGTCAACCCACTCTTCCTGAGTGTGATGCTGCACTGTGTTGCCAGTTCAGTCTTAAACAGATGCCTCTGTTTTTATTTCGAGCTCTGCAGTCACTCGGCCTTACACAATGTCAGCATCACACTCTATAAACACCGGTATGTAAACTCCAACTTTTTATATCGCATTAACTACTTATTCTGCAGGTCGAGCTGTGCTCTATTGTCATTTTGATATGTGCGCTCAAGATTGGGTCTTCATGAACAGTGTGAAAGGGCCATGGCTTGTATTTATGTTACTGTGCAAGAGCCTAATTCAAGCCAGGGCCAAAGGTCTTACTGGTGCACCTTTTCCATATATTATGGTGTCTTCTGATGTCTTTTTTCTAGGGTTAGGTTTTGCTTCTTTGTCACTAATCATGGACTTGAAATAACAACGTCTCTGCTGTATATAGTCTTGTCCCTAAGAGCTGCTTTGATTTTCAACACTTCACTTTTTGTCTCAAAGGTGTTCACGCCTATCTAAAACAAACAAAAACAAAAAAAGCACTACTTTGCAATATGCTGCAAGGAAAGGATCCGGACATCTGTGGTATCGCGTGAAAGATAGTTTCCAGTTTCCTTCCAAACTTGAGTGTCCACATCGTTTCTGTTGGTGGGAGAAACATGAAAATAACTCGTAGCATTAAGTTTAGACCTCGGCGTCTACGTGTGTGACTGCATGATGTGACTGTGAGTTGTACTGTATGTATATATGTGCTTTCATACATGTAGGTGTGTGTATATATGTATGTGTAACATATGCACGTGTAATATACTTACATATGATATAGCCACACACCTATGTGACCGCAGCGAATCCTATATTGTTTTGGTACTAAGTACACTTCTATACTAGGGATTTGTTTGTAACTTATTTGGAATAATAAAAAAAGCAAACAGTGGCCGGTGATGTCTTGATCATTTGTTGGTTTTCCTCTCACTTGTTTATAAATGTAGAAATGAATTCTTTGTACGTAATTATTTATTAAACGTAATCACTTTAGGTTTACTTTGATTGTTAATGCACTGCAATGTGTTTTTGTTGTTTGGTTGTTTCCTTCTGTCATTCATACATCACTTGTTCTGTTTGGACACAGTTAAATATGTTCCACTAAGTCTGATGATGAGCATTTCTTCATGCAATTAATACTGATTAAAATAATTTTACAGGCTATAACATTTGTCACGTTGTGTGTATCTGCTGTTCCAGTTGAAGATCTGCTTCGCAGTGTAGCTAAACAACCACCAGATGGCAAATACAGTAGTGCTGTTCCTTCTGTGTGTGAACTGTGTGTTTCTCTCTCTCCCTACACACACATACACAGAGGAAGGAGGAGTGGTTTTTCGCTTAGTCACAAAAAGCATATGTCAACCAAGCAGGCTGCAGTGTAAAAACAGTTTGTCACCTCAGACGTCGTTCTTGTGTAAAGTTCACAGCCTGCTTTTCCTTAATAAACATGGACTCTGCCTTTGAGGACCTGGACGCAGCAGGTTTCCTGGAGATATGGCAACACTTTGATGCAGATGGTAAGGACATTCACTCATGTCATCTTATTGTTCTTATAATAAAGATACATAAAACAGAGTGGAGTACCTAGAATTATTATTTTTTTGTCATTGCTAGACATTTAAGAAAGGTGTCCTATCATGAAGTTGAAATATAAGTATGCTACATATAATCACATTTTTAAAAAAAAGAAAAAAGAAGAGAATGAGTGAGTTGCTCATTTCCTGTAGGAACTTTGTATTAATCACATCTGAAAAGATTAGATAAAACAAAGAGGGTGTTGAATACTAAGCAGTAGTGCAAAGTTGCACAAGACACCTAAAAATATGAACTCAACTTGTTTATGGTAGAGCTACTTCTCCACTAGGTATTTATTTATTTATTTATTTGAAAGAAAATCCAACTTTGTTTAATTGTTAATGACGTCGGGGTTTTTTCTTTTTTATAATTGGACAGATAATGGCTACATTGAGGGCAAAGAGCTTGATGACTTTTTCCGTCACATGATGAAAAGACTGCGTCCACAGGTAAGTCGCCTCTGGATGAATTATTGCGATGACAGCTGTTAAATACAGTCAAGGGCAGCTGATCAAGCACAATGCTGAAAATTATAGCATCGTAACATCTGATCCTGACACTCTGTGTGCATGTAGTATGATTTTATCTCTATATAGTATCAGTAGAAGTAGTGGTGTAGAAATTTGCATGAAGGCCTGCATTGTATAGATTATTTAGTCAAATGCTTTTCTATTTCTGTTGCCATAAAATTTACAAATTGCTGCACAGTAGGAGGTATTTTCTACTTTTTAGGCTCATGAATTCACTGGAGGCAGTTTGTGAAAAGAAAAGCGTGAATTGGCTAATCCCAATTTTATTCACAGCATTTTCTGCCGTGTAGGCAGCTGAACATCTATGGAACATCTAAAATGGGTGGGGTGACTTAAGGATGTTAGACACAACTCAATTAAAGAGCTCTGGGCACTGTCAGGAAGAGCACTTGACGTGATTAGAAACTGGCCATTTCTCTGTGTTTTGTGCAAGGGTTTGCACTAATGACACATCGTGTTTACTGAGGAAAGTTATAGTAGCGCTGTCCTGAAAAAAAGACGGAGCCAGCTCTTTCCTAATGGACACTGAGACGAGCACACATCTATTAGCACACGTTCGTGTTTGCATGTGTGCTTATCTGTGGAACTCCCTTGGATACTAATTATGTAGTACTAGGACAAACAGACCACCAACCACATGTCCCTTTGTCTTTCTGATGTTTGCTTTCCATCCATAATGCCCCCCCCAAGGTGATATAGTGTTTGGTATGTTTGTTTTTGTGCTACAAAAGCACTTGACAGTCATTCTGTTTTTTTCCTATTCATTGCTTTTGAACTATTGGGTAGCATCAGCCACACAGTGCTCTTTTGTTTGTTCTTTTGTTTCCTGGAGTGCATCATGCCACATAATTATGCATGTGGTGCAAAATATTGTACAAGAATTGCTAACAAGTTGCATACTCAGGTTTCATGTGATACATTGCAAGTCTAATGTGGCAGTAAAATCTAAACAATGCTCAAGTTAGTATTGTGCTAGTCTAGAAAAACATGCTTTTCAAATTAAGTTGTTTGCTTTAAAATCTTCACTTAGCAACAGAGTGAGTGATACAAGGCTAATGCTCAAGAGCAATACTCTTTCTGCAATGAGAGGAGCTGGCACCTTGTAGTCTGCAGACTGTGTACACTGCATTGGATGAAGCAGAGAGTCAGACTTCAGCCCCTTAGATCTACAGGTTTCTATAGTTACAGTTACAGAGTGATTCATGGTTAAAAAAGAACTGAAAGATGAGCTGCCAAATATACTTTAAAAGAACTTCAGTGGCTCAAAATTATCGCCTTCAGTTGATTCACACTTATCTGACATCTGGCAGAGAAAGAAACTGGTCTGCAGAGGAAATGAAAGAAGCTGAGATAAGCATACAACAAACTAACTCTGCGCTGCTTTTTCTTTCTTTTTATGGTCGATTTAATTTTGTTTGCAGTCTATTAGAAAGTGTTTTCTTTATTCTTGAATGCAACTTTAGTACAGTGTTGTGCATCAAATAGCAAGTTAAGAATCCATCAGATAAAAGCACATAATTGAGATGGTAATGGAAAATAAAAAAGACCCAGCACAGTCTGTCCACTGGGAATCTCAATGGATCAGTGTTGTTCTATTCTAGGTGAAGACTCAAAGCACTTTACACAATATGCCTCATTCACATCCATTCATACTAGTACTTTTTTCTATCTAAGTGCTTTCTATCTAACAATTAGATATTCCAATGAATACATCGAAAAGTAATTTGTGGGCTGAGTATCTTAGCCAAGGATACTTTGGCGACCAGCCAGGGATCAAACCACCAACCTTCCACTGAGTAGAAGACCTACTCACCTAATGAGCTCCAGTCCCTCCAGTCACAAGCCTCTGGATTGTTGTTAGGGTACTATATAAACCGAATGACTGATAAATGAACTGAAAAAGAAATCATTTTGTCCTAAAAAGTTGTCAGCTCTCTCAGGACTGCTCTTTGACTTGAGTCAACAGGTTGGTCTGGCAGTAATTACAACGAGCTCGCACAGGTTGATGGTTTCCAGTGGATGGATCAGTCGGCTCTGAGCCCCTTTTTGTTGGCATGGTGATAGACAGGCTGGCAGTGGAGATCAAAGCAGTAGTCTTAGAAAGCGATGATGTTCCCAGACAACTTTGTGACCTGTAGTTCGAATACAGAGCATGTAGAAAGGCCCTGCAGAGGTGGAGGTATGCACTGGATAATAGAGGAATGAAATTTGAAGTAAGGCAGAATATGTGATTGAGAGAGAGGTGTGGAAAAGTGAAGCTGCAAGGAGTTGAGGTATTCAAGGTAGAGGAGTTTAAATACACTTGAGAGAAGTAAAGAAACGGGTGCAGGTAGGGTGAAGTGAGCGGAGACGAGTGTCGGGGATGATTTGCAACAGAAGGAGCAGCAAGAGATCAAGGGAAGGTTTACAAGATAGTAGTGAAACATGCTGTGATGTATGGTTGGGAGATGCTAGCACTAACAAAGAGAGAGGAGGCTGAGCTGGAGGTGGCAGAGCTGAGGAAGCTGAGATTTTCACTAGGAAAGACCAGGACGGGATTAGAAATGAAAACATCAGATAGACAGCTCAGGTTCTACATTTTGGAGACAAAGTTAGAGAAGCAAGTTTGAGCTGTATTTAACATGTGCAGAGGAGGGATAGCTGATATATTGGACAGAGGGTGTTTGAGGTGGAGCTGCTAGGCAGGTGGGAAAGAGGAAGACCACAGAGGAGGTTCATAGACGCTGTGAAGGGGGACATGCAAAGGGTTAGTGTGACAGGAGAATGGTAGGGGTAGGGGCAGATGGAGGCAGGTGATCTCCTGCAGTGATAATGTAGTGAGTAGTGACAATGGGAATGTGAAAAGGAAGGCCAATTAAGTGAACTGATAAGCTGTGGATCAGTTAGCCTGGGGTAGAGAAAGCAGACCTTGAGAGAAAAAAAAGCCTTAGATTAAATAAGTATCCATGGTGACACTGCTTAAAATAAATGTGACTCAGCCATTGAAGTATTATGTTCAATATCTTTGATTCTTAGGATTCTCTAATATATAGTAAGCAACCTGTATGTAACAGCATAACAAGATTTATCTTATATATTATTTTTTATTACTGTGTACATTTAGAACCGTTGTTTATTCCACACTGTACCTGCCTTTCAGTTAAACCGTGTACTGGTTTTGTAATGGTTGAGTTTGGATAGAGAATCAATGTTTTGTTTTAATCTGTACAGGACAAAGTCACTGAAGAAGATGTCCAGAATTTGAAGAAAAGGTTTATGTCTGCCTATGATGTCACTGCCGACGGGAAACTACAGATTCAGGAGGTACAGCAAGTTATGTCTCATAACACACATGAATTCTCCTTTTTTCTTTAATACCAAAGCTTTCAGCAAAATGTGAAAAATTAAGCTGTGCAATTCTAGACTTTAGTGTGCACAAACATCCAGCATGACACTACAAAGTCACTCTCTGATAACTTGTTTAGCTTCTTGGGTTAACTTCCTGTTTTGTATACACGTTGTCTCTGAATTATCTATTCAATTCCTCCTCTAGCTGCATGTCCTTTTCTTCTTTTATTTACCTCATCTATGTATGACAGTAGCTCAGTCTGTATGTTATCTAAGAAGAACTGAAATTATTCGGACTAATGGGGGTTATCCAAAGTTATCCTTGCAGCGAAAAGACAGCCAGAGGAGAATAGCACGAAAATCCTAATTTAAAGAGTAACAGTCCATATAATAAATATCAGTTTGCTCTATATACAATGTATAAACTGTACTCTTTTGTTCTTTTGATGCTTACATTATGCAGTGTAAACAATATACTGGCACTGTGAAAGGCCCGCTGATTTATTTTAATTTTTCAAACACCTACATCATTTTTTTTGTTTTAACCAGGGTTAATTCTTGAAGGACTTTCTGATTTATTCCATTTATTTCCTTAAATCAAATGTGACTGACGAGTTAACATGCAGCAGCTGTTCCCCAGAATTTTACAGACATATTTATATGTCGCTGCTCTCCCGAGCTCCACTCTGGGTAATTGATGCAGCTCCCAGCAAAGCAGTAGCCACAGTGCTTCATCAGAGCAATGAAATGAATTATGTTTCCTTCTAACACAGAAACTTTCAGCCATTCATTAGACCATTCCCATGTGTGCAGCAACCACAGACACAAAAGCTTAGGCATTTACTCAGAAAGCTGAAAATAAAAATCAATACGTATCTTCTCTAAGTGCCCCGTTGAAGATTTGCTGTGACCGAGGCAGGGACAGAGTATTCTTTGTAGCTTCATCTGAATTTCCCGACACAGTTTCAAAACCATAACTCAGGTTTTATGTCAGTAATTGCTTATACAAATTTCCAGTCTAGTAACAATTATCCTTTTGTGCCAACTCTGTTTGTGTGGATGTCACTATAATAATTTTTACATAAGCTATTAGGATTGTTGTGCTAATTTAGCAGGCGATTCAGGCTCTTGTCGAAACAAATGGAAAGGCAATCGTAGTTTCAGTTGTCACATGCAGTCCCTGGCCGCTTCATTAAGTACACCTGTTTAATCAAGCAAATATCTAATAAGCCAAACTTGTGGTAGCCTGCTGAAGGTCAAACTGACCTTCAGAGCTGGAGAAGAACGGCGATTTAAATGAACATGGTGTGTTTTTTGGTGCCAGACGGGCAGCTCCGAGCATTTCAGAAACTGCTGATCTACTGGGATTTTCACACACAGCCATCTCTAGAGTTTTCAAAGAATGTTCTGAGTAGGAGAAAATATTCAAAGAGTGCCAGTACTATGGTGCTTTGCTGGCCTGAGAGGTCAGAGGAGAATGGCCAGAACTCTTTGAGCTAATAAGAAGGCAACAGTAAATTAAATATCCACTCATTACAAACAGATGGTGAATCTTCATAGGCTACAGCAGCAGAAGACTGGATGCTGCCCGATATGATGAGTCTCAATTTCTGCTGCAATATACACATGGTAGGCCAGAATTTGAGGTAAATGGAAAGAAAGCATGGAACCATTCTGATTCATATATGGTATTACACCATTGTTGGCACAAGTTCGCACTAACTGAACACTACAGGCTACCTGAAGACTTTACTTCCACCAGTGTGTGCCCATCTTCTAATGGCTGCTTCCAGCAGGATAATGTGTACAATGCTCTGTGGTACTAGCTCAGAAACTGAACTAGTTCAGAGACAAGTTTAGTCACTGAACTAGACTAGTCTCTGAACAGAGTATGTAGTAAACTAAGACCTCAAACACTTCAAACTTGTCATAGATAAGAGTCCTCCAGATGTGTGTGCAAGATTCAAGGTGACAGAGCTTTAGCTGCGATGCTCCACACACACATTCATAAAGACTGCAGTTATCATTTTTAACAAAGTGTAGCTAATGTTCAGTCCAAAAAAAAAAAAATCAACACATGTAAATGTGTGCTAGGACATATATTGAGCATTTTATTTGCATCATAGTGGTATAAGTTGAAATACTTATTTAAGTCATATCATTTATAGATGTAGCATCTCATCTGGGTTTGCACCAGAAATTATTACACACTTGAAGATAAATATGTCTTTATCAACCACTTTTTGGGTCATGATGCCATCTCCCCACCCTGCACGCTTGAGACATCCTCACATACATTATTAGTAGGAAGTGAAAAACCCAGAAAGCCACAATATCCTGTCTCTGCTGCAGTTGCTGTTTCTATAAATGAGTGATCTGTTTAAGTGCACTTAGCAAACAAACTGTTGTGTGCCAGATATACATCATGGCATGAATTCTTTGGTGTGTGCAACTGTTATGTTGCAACCACATGCCTCAGTTGCAAAAGGAAAACTTACAGAGGTCTCGAAATTAAAACTGGTATCTGGATCAAGTTTTGCATATGTGACTTTTGTTTCACGGCATTAAAGCGCGCTAAGAAAAAACATTAAGCAACACTTGTTTAAGCAACCAGCTCTTTAAAACCACGTATTTTGTGCAGTGAACAATTTTATTTACTATAGGTCTCATCAGGGTTTGTGCATTGCGCATATTCTGCCAGATTTGTGACCTGAATGCACCAGTATTATCTCGTATTTTAGTAGGAATGATGCTCGAGGTCGGTTTAATCTGCTAATGGAGGCCTGATATTGGTTAGAAGGACAGACAAGAGTAAAGCATCATGAACTGGAGAGGAGCCAGGATGGGCTAGTGCAGGACCACACCTAAATTAAATCATCCCCATGTGTTGTCTCCCAATATGGAAACTTTAGTCGAGAATTAAGATGAAAAGCTTCATGGAGCATCATCATTGTCTTTACTCAGATTTTTGTGTCTGTTATTATTTTCCAGCTGGCCCACATGATCCTGCCTGAGGATGAAAACTTCCTTTTAATTTTCCGCAGAGAAAATCCTCTGGACAACACTGTTGAATTCATGACGGTAAGGTCAAAAATAACACACGAGAGCAGAGCATGGCATGACCTAAGCATCACCCATCAACAATTTTAACAATTAAAAGTAATGCCAGTAGTATTAAAACCTCTCAAACCCCAGTGGTATCTTGATGGCCCAGACTTTGAGGCTTGCATATGGAGAACACACCGTTAAAGATCTGATTAGTGGACTCAGGTGTTCTTTTATTCGATTAAGTTGACTAAAAAATCTTCATGGCAGGTCAGATTCAACAACTCGCATGTGAGATTTCTGCATGAACACTTGCAGCTACTGATTGTTGTTTGAAATTCTTTACAGTGTGGTGATAGCCCATTGTGGTTCTTCAAACCTTCAACAGGTTTTTCTGAATATATTACCCAAACTGCTCACCCATCGAAATCACTGAGTTCAGGTGTTCCACTTCACTTCTGTGCTCACAGGGTAAAATTAACAAACAAAGAATGGGTCGCTCTTCCACAAAGGGAATTCCAGGGTGGTACCGTGATAGGATGCCACCTGTGCTACAAGTAAAATTTCCTCACACTTAAATTTTCCACTGTCAGCTGTTAGTGGTATTTAAAAAAAGGTGGAAGCGATTGGGAGCGTCGGCATTTCATCCAC